CAGGGAAGGCAACTGTTCACCCACACGAAGCGTTCCACTCCTCTCCTAGTCTTGTGGGATGAACATCTCCTGGCGTCTCTGTTCTCCTCCTCGAGGCACGCTCCCTCTGGCCCTCGCCCGGCCTTCTGGAGAACAGAGCGTGAGCAGCAGCCCCCCACCCACCCTCCCCATCTCCTCAGGCTGCTCCAGCGCCGCAGAGCTGGCTTCCCAAGGACTCTGCAGTGTAGTGCCTGCAACGTGCGGCCCTAGAGGTTTCCCCAGGACTCCGGCGGGGGGAACTGGTCCACATCCCCCATTTCATTGTAGGTTTGCTCTCCCATGGTGAAAGTCAGCTTGTACCGTAGCCTCACTTTCTCCTGGGGACAGGGGAGAAAGAATAAGCAGTCAGAAGCAGGGGAAGACAGTCACGAGGCACAAACCATTCAGGTCTTTAGGAAGCTGCAGAGGGAACAGGGACAGGGTAACCGGGCTTTGCCCAGGCAGCAAGACCAGGCTGGTCATGCCCCAGGGACGGTGCTGTTACCTTCTGTGGGTTAGCAAGCAGCAGGACTTGTGTGATGGCACTGGGATGGACAATGGGGTTGAAAGCCGGCAGCTCCGTGCCTGAGGGAGGCTGTAGCTTCACCTTCATCACCTAAGGAAAAAGAAGAGCATCCCACATTCCTGAGGGGGACTTGGCAGCCAGAGGCCCTGCTCCTGTATTTGGGGAGCTTCCACTGTCCAGTCAAAAAGAAAAACATTGTGCTGGTTCCTGCTAATCTGAAGGCAACACAAGTCGCTCTCGTCCCCACACAGCTCTCTCCACCCACCCTGCCTTTCCTGCAAAGGGAGAATCACACTTCAGCCCAGTCTGGGGACCTCAGCCCCAGCAGCCACCTTACCTTGGGGACGGCGGACTGAAAGACAATGTTGCGGATGGGCTGTGGGGCCGTGCTAAGCATAGAAATCACCACCACAAGCACATCGGGCCTCTCGGGCAGGGCATCCTTAGCAAAGTGGAAGAGGACGCGAAAGCCGTGCTGATCATACACTGTCACAGGGAGGATGCTGCCTGTGGGAAAGGCAGGGACAGGCAGCAGTCAGCCAGGAGGGAACTGGCCCTGCGGCAACCTCTCCCCATCACCCAAACTCCATACAAGTGATGGAGATACCACTCCTCCTCAACCTCCACAAAATCCAACAAGCAAGAAGTTTCCTCACATTCTTCCCTTCCATATGCACGTGTCTTTTTCCACCGCCTTCATACCCTGTCCAGTTGCTTCTTCCCCGATTTGTCTGGCTCCCTTCCAAACAGTCCACCCCCCCAAGCTTGCCCCACTCTTTCGCCCCGGCTCACTGGGTTTGATTGACTCCAGAGGCACAGTGATGTTGGCCAGCGAGATCTCCTGGGGCAGCGCGGTGGCGGGAGGCCGTGGTGGGACTGCAGCACTTCCTGCTGGTGCGGTGGCAGCTTTTGGAAGCGTAGCAGGGGCAGGCAGCTCTGAGGTCAGGGGCAGCGTGGGATTAGGGGAGACACTCTGGAGCACAGGCAGAGTGCTGGGATTGTGGGCTGTGGTGCCAGAGTTGCTCCTGTTCTGGAGATCCCGCAGTGTGAGCCGGGGGGGTGGCTGCTGCTTCTCCCTGTAAGAAGAGAGCAAGGAGTGGAACGGGGCACTGAAATGTCATGTCCAGCACCCCAGAAACAGAAACGATGGGGAGAGATGCGAGATTTCACTACCCCTGCTTACCATCGCACTTGTTGAGACTCTGGAGGCAAAGACTGTTGCAGCAGAGTCTTGCCCAGGAGGTCCAGGTCATCCAGGCCACTGGTGAAAGGAGAAGGTTTGGGGGAGGATGCGCCAGCATCTGCTTTGACTGGTGGTGTTGCTGTGATAGGGGTGATACTGAGCTCGTTGCTATCTGATGACTGTAAAAAGAGTGCACAGGAGAGCCCCCCAAGCTGGGTTACATATCAGCACCAACCATCAGACGTTGGACACTTCCCTACCTACTCCATTTGTTGCTTTCACCACCATCCCCACCTTCTGCCCTGGCTCCCAGCACATTACCTGGAAGCTGTTCCAGCCGCTGCTGTCACCAGCCTGGGCAGGATGCGGTGCTGGGTCATTCAGGCCTGCCGGGGGTAAAAGCAAACAGGAAGCTTAGCTACCAAGTGGGTAAAAGCATTAAACGGGGCCTGAGTAAGACACAGAAGCAGCAGGGCAGAACCACTAATGTGGTCTCCATCTCTGGCCACCATCCTTGCATGGGGGAGAGCCAGGAGGGTGACACTGTTTTTTCTGCCCAAAGATTCTCATTTACAGTCTAGTTCTCACCGCAGTTGGCAGAGAAGTGAATACTACTGGGCTGACAAGCCCCACTGACCACGTTGTCTACTTTATGCTGTTGTACTCAAAGCACCTATCTTAGAAAACACACCCTTTGTTGGAAAAAGCAGGATTCTAGAGCCTTCTAGGACTGGCACCTCACAAGACTTCCATGCAAACAGTTCTGGAAGTCCCATGCATCTGTTGTTAGCTCATGACTTCAACTGCAAGGAGTAAACATGAGGAGCTGGGGGTGATCCACCCTTGTGATCCCATCTGGGGATGGCCATTGCATCACTCTTGATTTACCTGCCAGGTCAGTTTTCCCGGAGTAAATCAAAGGGCATATCCCTGCAGGCTCTCTCTGACGAGTCAGGAAAGCACCACGGGACGGAAGTCCAGAATCATAGCAGGGACCTTCCCTCCTTCTCCCTCACACTAAGTGAAGGCCACCTCTTGGCCTTTCATTATTCACCTCTCCCAAAGCTCTCCCTCATTTGTGCTCCTGCCACAAGGAGGACCATCTACACAAACTGTCCAGAGTCAAGGAGAGAATAAAGAGCTTTTGCTCTGGCCTTCTCACCTAAAGACATGAGTTCATCATCCAGCAAGGAGACAGAGCCAGCTCGGTCAGGCATGGGGACTGCTGAGCCACCTGAAAGGGTGGGCAAGGCTGGGTAGGAAGGGCCTGTTGCTGGAAGATCCAGGCCTGACAGATCCAGAAGTGCTGAGGTGCTGCCTGCAAAGAAGGAACAAGCTGAGAGACAGACGCCTTATCCAGTGTGCTGAGGTCAGTTCCCATCCTTCCTCACACCTGGGAGAAGGTATTCCCCCTCTGCTCTCCCTTCCAGTTCCCTCTCTTCATGCATCAGTCATCTCCACAAGCCATTTCCTTTTCTCACCAGCCCCGCTCTGACCTCCTGCAGGTTTCACCTTTCCACTTCTCTCAATCTTCTCTTACATTGCAGGAAACCGGCAACAGGGTCCCTCTGCTTGACTTTCCTGTCCCCATTACCCAAATCTCCTCACCTCGAAGGGGACCAGCCACCGTCTCCCCATTGATCTCTTCTCCCCGCACAAGCTGCTTGTAGAGATTGATCACCTGTGTCAGATTGTCATTGGCTTGCAGGATCTCCGCTGAAATGGAATAGGTGGGAAGTAAGTTTGAAAATCGTGAAGAAACAGAGAGCGACTTTTATACCCCAACTCTGTCTATTCCTTCAAAGCAAGGCCCAAGGAGCTGACAGCAGCTCACTGCAGACAGCATTTTTGCAATTGTTGCTGCAAACTGCATCAGGGTACATGGATAGCTCCACGGCAGTCTCAGCAGGACAAGCAGAAGCCTTGTTCCCATAGCAAAGTGGAGGAAGCCTGTAACACTGCCAATTGCTGCCACGTATCCCCGCTTAGTGCCACGCCATGGACTAACTAACCTACAGCGAGCACCCACCCCAAACAGAGCAGTGGCTGCTGATAGATACCATGCCATGGGCAGCCCAAGCACAGGCTCCCTGAAAGAAGATGGAAGGAGAAGGGGACAGAATGAGGAAGGCCAGACAGGCTTACCCAGAGCTTCATCATTGTCTTCTGTGTCACTGGCGAGCCGGAAAAGCATGGGCCTCATGCGCTCACAGCGCTGATACAGCTCCTGAGGGAGAGGAGAAGGGGACGCTGAGGTGAGCAGCTCAGCTGTGGGTGCAATAAAGGCAGGAGGAACTTGAGGGGGTAAGGGTCATCCATCCCTCCTAAGCTCAGGAAGGATGCTGTGATGGCCTTTCCTCACCTTCATTAGGTCCTCATTGCTCTCCGTTGTCTCCCCCTTGCTGTAGTTTGTCACCATCTCTGTCAGCAGCTTCACATTGTTGTTCACCTCCTCGATGGCATTCACCCTCTTGGAGATCTTCTCCATGCGCTTCTGGTCCTGGAGAGGAAGAACACGGGGAAGGATGTCCCTCCTCTTGATTGCAACTTGGAGAGGAGGAAGGCTGGGCCAGCCAACACATCAACTCCCCGGACTGAGGCACATCAACGCTGCCCTCAAAACAGCTCCCACTCCAGTGGAAAACTCCAGATCACCTCTGAGCCAGCACTTGCTAAGCAGGGATGGAATTGCCACAGATCTAGTGCTGCAGCTGGGCTTGGGCCACAGAAAGCACACAGAGGTATTCCTCCAAGTAGCCACGGAATGGCAGAAACCACACAAGGACTCTTTAGCAGCTGCTGCTGCAAAGTTTTGGGCAGCTCCATATGTCTGCGTGAGGACAGAGAGCCACTGCTCCCTTGGTACCAACCACTGCCACCCAGACCATCACCCCCCAGCTCCCCTTCTCCGCAGCCGCACCTCCTGAACCATCTCCTTGATGAGCTTGTTGGCAGCCCGGAGGTCCTCAGGATGGGAACTTTTCAGGAGACGAGCCAGTATCTGCAAAAGAGAAGGTACCTCTGAGCTCAAGCTGAGGGGTGGCAGCCAGAGTCACTCTTGCAACACCAGAGCCAATGGAGTTACCCCTGCTCCAAACCTGTATCTGGCAGAGGCAGCAGACAAGGCCAGCTGTTTGAAAGCCCAGCCATGAGAGCTTGTGGGCTACCAGAGACCAGGGAGAGAAGAAGTACAACTGGTCTTCCTTTACCTGTGGTGGTTCTCATTATGTAAGATAGGTCTTTCCCTAAAGATCCCCTGCATCCAAAACCTGCTCCTGCCTGCCCATTATGTACCATGCAGACCCCAGAGCACAGCGGCACTAGCACTGGGAAAGAGAGAAAGCCTGGTTTACGCAGGAATTGCCACAGGATTGCAATGGATTCCTACTCAGGCCTCTTCATGTGACCTTTCACAGCTGCAACTGGTGAAGAGGGAGAGCTCCCACTTTCTCTCCCCTTCTGTAGTCAGGAACAGTCCCACTGGCCACCTACAAAGCCTCATTTGCACCCTGTGACCCACAGAGGCAAAATACATCCCCTGCAGCAAAGTGGCATCACGCTTCTGCTGCAGAAGTAGACCCAGAGAAGCCTAATACTTGCTTAAATGTATCAGCACTAGTAAAACAGAGGTTTGCCTGAGTGGTGATGCAATTCTGATGGAAAGGCAATATAAGACGGGTCCAGGAAGGCATAAGTAGTTGGGCAATAAGCAGATTGCAGTGCTGGGGGTGCAGAAGAGATGCCAGCAGCAGCATCTGGGTCTGGGATTTAAACCTCATGGCCAGATAACTCAGAAGCCTGGAGACCGCAGAGCTGCAAACCTTCCAGAACCTGCTGGGCTAATGTCAACACTTCACCCTTTGCACCATCCTGCAAGCTAAGCACTCCAGAAGTCAAACAGACCCACATGGCCCACCTCTGGCTGTTTCCTTTGTCGTGATTTTGGAGTGGGCCCTCAGCATTCCTGTGATGCATTTTCTGAAGCACAGTATGTCAAGCAGGGGCCTTGACTCTTTCTGGATCTCCACCCCAGGAGGACAGGAGATCCTGGAACAGGTAAGATGTTGGCAACTATCCTTCTCCTTGAACAGAGCCCTTACCTTGGATTTCTCTTCATCATCAAAGATGATGTTCTTGGGCCGAGGGGGAGGAGGCGGAAAAGAAGCGTCGTCAGGCAGTTTTGGGTCACATTTCACGATCCCTGCAGTAGAGACCAATGGAGAGGTCAGGAGGACTCACCTGTTGGGGGATGGCACTGCCACCTGGGTCATTTCTTTCCTAATGGACCACCAAACCCAGCTGGGACTGAGGAGGTTTGGGTCTGCTTCCACTACCCATGAACCTGGACTGTGTTTTCATGCAAGAACTGGCCCCCACTCTCCATCAATATCCTGGATTGTGTTTTCATGCAAGAACTGCCCCCCACTCTCCATCAGTATCCTATTTTAGAGAAATCTAGCATTGACTGCCAAAGCACTCGCAGCCCTCCAGCCCCAGCCCCTTCCAGCGCCCCATCTCCTGCAGGAGCAAGCAGATGTCCCCTCCCACCCATTGAACAACTCAGACCACCAGCAACTCCCTCTGCCCAGTTAGGAGCCACAAGGCACCTGCTCCTTCACCTGCCCCTGCTGCTGAATCAGGCAGACTGATGGATGTGCTGGGTCTGGGCACAGGAAAGGGAGAGCCTGTTTTGGATTCTGCCTGGACAAAAAAGGAGGGAGGGCAAACCGTCCGTCCACATTCCCCTTCCAGAGCACTGCCTCTGACCTTGTTTCTTCAGCATCTGGTAGGCTTCTGAGATCTTCACCTCGTGAGGCAGCCCTAATGTCCAGCTGTACATCAGCTCCAGGATCTTTGACTTCACTTTTTCTGGTGTCCGGCTGCCAAGATACTAGAGGAAGAGAGAAGAGGTGGCTTGAAGTTGATCTGAGCCGTTGCAAGCCTGGCCTGTTCCTCTCCTCCCCTCCCCCAGGAGAAGTGAGACCATTCCCAACGGCACAAGGAGGAGGAAAGAGGAAGCAAGTAGGAAAGCTCACGAGGCCCTTGCAACATGTCCTACACTGCGCTTGGTTTCCACCACAGGAAACACAAGAGGTGGGAGAAATGCTGCACCAGCAGCCCCTCAGTGACAGGCAGGGACAGGTGGGAAGGCTCAGACGGGTCTCTGCCGCCTTGCGAAGGAAAGGGTGCTGCTAACAGAAGCTGCTCAGCGAGGCAGCCCTTCAGGAACGAGGGGACAGCAGGGCTGGGAGGGGAAGGACTGTGGGTAACGGTCCCTGGGGCAGGACCCAGCTCTCTCTCTCTCAGGGGCACTCCCCAGCACAGAGTGCCTGGCACCCTTTACAGCTAGGTGAGCCCCAGATGACCAGCACCCAGCACGAGATCTCCAAATGCTACAGCCCTCTCCCTGACATACAATCGTCTTTCGCTCTTCTCCCATGGGTCTGCTGGGGGCACTGGTGGTAGAAACAGCGCATGTGCCATCAGAGGCCAGTGCCTTAAGGTAGAGGACATTCTCTAGGGCGCCTAGCAAGAGGCCTTTAGGATGTTGCTGTCACTGTCCCTGGCTATTCATCACCACAGATCATAAGCTGTGACTGGCAGACAAAGGTTTTCCTGAGTCATATTTAGTCCGTGTTCCCTTAACTCCATACTTGCTGGTGTTAATTGCCTTGACTGAACAGGAGAGCACACACAGCTTGTTCTGCTGCAGGAAGCGCAGCACCAGCAGAGGAGCAGGCAATGACTTGGTGCTTCAGATGGACTTGCCAGAGCACCACTGACCAGGCCTAGGCTTGCCCTCTGAGAGTGTCTCAACCAGGTTGGGAGACACGGTCACGATGTCAAAGCTGGCGGAGGTTCCTGAGCACATGCAGTACAGAGAGCGCCCAACAGAGATGCAGGGAAGGTGACACCAGGCACGCAGACGAGCTCCGTAGTCTCACAAGTGCTGGTTGCATCATGTCTAGCTGGCCCTCAGCTTCCTGCATCAAGAATCAGCCGGGAGCAGAGGGTTGAAAGCTCACCTTCCCCCTGGAAAACTCACCAGGGAATGAGGACTAAACCTCCTACTAGCACTGTCCTGTTTCCCCCTCATCCCAGTGGGTGTTTGACCCTTCTGCTCAGCCACTACTTCCTCCCAAAGCCCTCCTGCCACCAGGCTCTGGTCATCTCCAGCACGATCCCCTGGGACCCACCTTGGGTGACACCACTTTGATGAGTTCATTGAGGAAGCGGAACTTGCCCACCTCGTCGTGGAAGCGTTTGCCGCAGCTCTTCATGCAGGACTCCAGCACCTGGGGAGAGGGGCCGGGTGAGCCCCGGCACGGGGTCAGCAGCAGGTTCGAGAGCCAGCTCCCTCCTGCTTCCCCCTTGCCAGGCACAGAGCCTGTAGCTGTCCTCACAGCAGCGTGGAAAGACACCACCTTTCTCTCCCAGGTGGCCAATCACCCTCCCAAAGGGAAGCAAGAAGATTTTCCTCTTTGGAGGAAACAACAACAGCCGATGGAAGGAGATATCCGTAGAGAGTTCACAAATACTGGGGTTTCATAGCATGGATCCACAACGACATGAAGGGAACAAAAAGCTTCCCATCGACTTCAACAGGCTATGGTCCTTCCTAGGAACAAGACCTTTCCTACCAGTCACCCCTCCTCTCCTGTGGAACCACCTTCAGCCCCTCTTGCACCCAAGGGCTCAGGTGCTCCAGGGCTTCTCAGAGAGAGTTCAAAGCTTCCCGTGCACCTCCAGTCAAACTGGAGCAACCCCACACCCTGGCCCTCCATCTAGTTCTACCAGCCTGCAGATGCCCTTACCGTGAGGGCCTGGATAGCTTCCCATTCCTGTGGAGACTGGATCTTGTGGGCAAGAAGTCGGGTAGCAAGCGGAGGACTGGAAGGAGCGAGGGAGAAAAAAAAAAAGGCTAGCCGGTTATTGATTGAAAAGTACCTGTGTGGTACTTGTATTTCTATCTGGGAATCCAAACGAAAAGCGTGTTGTGAGTTTAAGGCGCTGATAAGGCACTAAACCTGTGTGGGAACCTCCTGTTAGTGGACCAGGACCTCCCACCCACCGCCACTTTGAGGGGCTTCGTGCCTGTTCAGCTCTCAGGGCCACCCCACTGAACCTTACCAGGTGGGCAATCATAACCCAGGCCCAGGAGCCGGAGCAGCCTAGGGGCAGGAAGAAGCACTTACCCCTCTAGCTCCTTATTGAGCTGCTCGCAGAAAGCGTTGATACCATCCCAGTCCAGGTCCTTGTTCAGCGGGTTTGTCGCTTTGTCTGCGGGCAGGAGAAGGGGGACAGTGAGAAAGTCACCCCGCGGGGGTGAGGGGCGGCATCGCTCCCGCTCCCTCCCCAACCCCGCCGCTCGCACCGACGGAAGGCAAAACCCCCACGCTTGCCCGCACCCCCCCCCCCGCACCCGGGCCGG